ATCTAGCCGGTCCTAACTGGGCTGGGCTTTATATAATCTCTTTTTTTTTTACCAACACCTTGCTATACTGTAATACATATCGTTGTGCTTGCATTTTAATTTTTTCTACGTATATTATTCCGTTTTTTATTTCTATATATATCTCCTTTTCTCTTCCTTTCTTTCTATCTATTCAGGGGCGGCGCCAGGATGTTTTTACTGGGGGGGCAACCACGAAAAGTGAGTTCCTCCGGGGGGGCAAGCAAGCTCTGCTCCTACTAGGTTTTCAATATATGCTTCCGGGCACTTGGGTGGGCATAGGGGGGGCAGGCAAGAATTTTGAGAAGCTCCAGCCCACCCTTGCCCCCCCCTGGCGCCGCCCCTGTATCTATTCCTCTACTATTCCTTTCTATTCTCCTTTCTATCTGTCTTCGTTCGCCCCCTCTTCTTTTCCTTCTCGGTCACCACCCGCTCTATTTTTCTACCCACAAGGCTAAGCTCTGCCAGCGTACCTTGATCGATGACCCAGTGGTTACGACGCTCCACTGCGGATCATGTATAGGGACGCGATTGATTGCTTGCCGATTCACGATCACGACAATTTTCGATCTACGACCCACGATAAACCACGACCATAACAGCGGCACTGTTTTCTTTTTTTTTGCTTTTTTAAATGGCGTGCGGTTGCTAGTTGCCGCTGGTGATCTGCGCCTTTTGTTGTGATGTGCGTGTTTTATAATTTAGTATGAGGGAGATTTAATAGCTTGAATTCGAAATGTGTCGGGACCTAAACAGGAGTACTCGGAATGCTCGTTAGAAGATTGTACGGATTAAAAACAGCTATCAACGATAGGGTAGTGTAAAGTGTACTCAAGGACAATGGCAGAAACATTTTTTTTTCGGGGGGAAGTGGCTCAAACCACCCTTTATGTACGTTTCGTGCGTGTGTTTGTATATATAGATGAAAAGAAATCTCGTAAAGGGCAAGAAGACCCCCCCCCCCCCTCCACATCTACACTAGTGATCAATGAGGTCTGAACTTACTCTCGGACGTATATGATTAACTAGCTGATGATTACCAGACTGCCAGCCAGGAGGTAACGAAATGAGATGAGGAAACTAGATAGTGACCATATCCGACGGCAACTGCAGTCAAAGTCTGCATATGTTGAACAATGGCCTTCCGAGATGGCACGCCGGCTGGTTTCCCCCACGTCACGCAGTCTCGGAGGTCAGGATTGAACTCGAACAAGTATAAAGGATCAGTTTAGCAGAAAACTTTCAGAAACATTTGCCGCATTGTTTGTGCGCAAGTTGGCTTCACTGCATTTTTTACAATAGTGTAAAAACAGGCGAACTTACGGCAATTCATTTTTTTTTCTGATCTTTACGTGGTTTGTAGCTGGGGCGTGGGTTATATGCAATGGCAGATTATACGCAAGAAAATACAGTATTGACGTCTCATAAAACACTGCTTTATGCTTCTTAAACCTTTCAGCCATGGATTTTTTAAATTTTTGTCGGATACACTTTTTGTGCACTTTTTTGTCGTATTTAGGACCTCAGAAGCCCACAAACAAAAAATTGATTCACTTAAAAATTGAGATTCACAAAAAATTGAGCCACAGGTACAAGCATCTTTGGATTATTTAACGTGGCATCGAACTAGGTGATAAGGGTCCAGTGATTGGAAAATGAAAAAAAAAAGCTTCTTTTTTCCTGCCTATCAATGGCGTACACAAAATGCAAACCGACGTCTCACTTTTCAGCGCAATACTCACTGAAACAGCTTCGGTACGTCGTCCGAAAAATGGCGCATACCCGCCTCAAATTACGCGCCTCGGCTTCACGGAAGACCTCGGTCGCGCTTCTTTGTGACTGCTACCTCCACAAACGTGCCACAATATTGGTGCCAATTGCAGTGGGGATTATTGAAGAACTATGCCCCCAAGAATGAGTAGTATTGGTTACGTTTCCGAGATACTAGGGGAAATGTTGTGTGGTGGTGACAATCGACACCGCCAGAGCCGAAATGGTTAAATTCAAACACCCAGGGCATAGATTAACGCGCAAAATATTCTACGAACATGTGTTGCTTGTTCGCGAAGCGAACGGCGATGGCGTACGTGGGGTCAACGGGGAAACGACGAAAAATCGTAGAACGCAAGCGATGACAAGCGTCAGTTTCCACTCGCTTTGCGCGGCGCCCTCCTGAGCACACCACTCTCTCTCAAACAGACGCGGGAAAGCAACGCCGACTAAATTTCAAGGCCGAAAGGCTGCCGCAGTGACGTCAGAGGATGGGGCCCAGTTACGCCGCGAACGCGGCGGAAAGACTGTGTTTCGTTCACGTTTTAGGAGAACCAACGCTCCCGCTCTCGCAGCTGCCGCGGTTTGATTGGGCCGAACAAAAGATGTGGAAAAAAAAAAAAGTCTTACTGAGCATGCTCAGTTGGGCAACTGGGCCCCCAACCTCTGACGTCACTGTGGCAGCCTTTCGGCCTTGAAATTTAGTCGGCGTTGGGGAAAGCCCCCTTCTTAGCGGGAAGAAATGTGTCCACTACGCGTTTCGTGCTGCCCCAATTTCGATGCACCAAGCTTTCGGGCTGTTTTCGTTCGAAGCGGATTTCGTGCCGACCGGTTGTTCCCCCGCGATTCCGACGACAGCGCAGCGCTGGCCGACTGGCTCGCCTTGCGCCATCTCCTGCCGCAGACAAGAACTCTCGCTGAGTGGTGCCCCGTCTTCAAAACTCCTGCGACCGTGTCCATCTTCCCCATTTTCTACTTGCTTCTGGATGACGCTGTCCCTGCGCCACACTCTCTCCTTCCACATCTCTATCTTTATACCTTTAATCCTATCCTTTTAATCCCTCCTTACCCCCATCCCCCGTGAGCTACTGCTGAGGTGTCGCACTATGATGCAGACAGTTACGGGGCTCACTTTTATCTTCTTTTCTCTTTTCATACTTTCGCATATTTCGCATATTTTCATATGCCTTGGTGCTGAAAACATTGTCACGCTCGTGAATAGTTCGATATAAAGGATAATTCCATTTATCCGAGATTAGTGTAATCGGGTACGTGGTTAGCAAGGTAGACATTCTAATCAGGTGCATCTACCATTCGTCATCATGCATTATGATTTACTTGCCGATGGTTACAAGAATGACGGATTGAAGGTGACAGACAGGTATTAAATCAAGTTCAGTCGACTAAAGGGAAGGCGATGTCAAGACGAGACACGCCCGATGGCAAATAACTGGAGCTGGGGATCACTGGGTAGACATGTGCCCCAGGTGGATGCGTACACGTTCGTAAATACCGGGTAGTTAGAACAATACTTTAAACTATGTAACGCGTACCATTTCACAGCAATAGAGCGAACCACCGGATTGACAGTTATGCACAAGAAAGAGACGCATTGACGAAGGTAATCATACATGCACACTCACATTTATTTCACAAGCACGCACATACTTTCGTGTGAACCTTGATCGAAGGCAAGTCATCATCTTCAGGCGACATGCCCTCGACTTACGTTTTAAGGCCGAGGGATAACAGATGAACGAAGGAACTGTTGCACATTGCCTGCTGAAGTCACGTTTCGTCACCGCTGCAGACGGCCCACATTTTTTTTTTTGTCTGCTGTTTTTTTTCTCGTCGCGGAGTCACCACTTAGTTGAGGCGTCGTTTCAGTCTCAATCACAGGAGTGACATGCATAAGGTGAGATACACTTTGCGACATGTCAGGACCTCTTCAAGATGGCAACGCAGTCTCTACGTTACATCGCTCCATAGTTCGGAAACAAGGACAGGTCGTGCAGCTAAAAACCGCAATGCTTTACATGCAAGTCAATACCGCGCACAATAAAGGTGACTGTAAATTGACATTGCTTAACTGTGTGCAATAGTAGCCACAAAGACAGGACTAACTTGGTTTTAACGACACATCGGATGAGTTTGGCACATTGGCAAACCGGTCACTGGTCCGCACACGTTATGCAAGCTGCATAAGCGCCCGGCGACCAAACGAATGTTGGCATGGCGGTGCGTCCGTATACCGCGAACGACGTGGCGATGCAATGTATATTACAGCGGTAGCCTTTCGCGTTCAACGCGTTGTTTTTCCCTACGCTGCCGTTAGTAGAAGTTCTCTTTATATGTGCCACGCTCACGTCACGAATGTTTGCGCGAGTGCGCTATACATCTGAAAGATTGGCACTAGTTTTCTTCACCGACCAACTCGGAGGGAACACTGAAACAATCCGAACGCTAGTGGCCCCAGTGCATTAATTTCTAAGTGGAGGCCCTTGCGTAAACAGGAACCTTAATGCAAGCAGGTTCGCTTGTCGGAACAATGGCTTCAATCTGAAGCCTCCCTCGATAGCCCACTGCTGACCACTTCGTCTTCATCTTCCTGCAAACACATTGACTTCCGTGCGAACCCTGCTGTGCCATCGGGCGAGCGATTTCTTATTCCTTTCCAGCAAGGGTTAATGGGGAGTGTAAGCATACATGTCACTGTCCTCATGCATTACTTTTAACTGCACTCGCCGGTACAAGTTGTTCGTGTTTTTACATGAGAAAGCAACGATCAAACGCTCGTCCAGGGGTCATATCATTCTAACCGTATTGCTCTAACATGGCAGAGCGTGTACTGGGAGCCCCAACTGTAATCTTTCTCTCGAGCATAAATGTTTCATCATTAGCCGGTGTTTGGGCAAACTTCCACTCACGTCAGCCGACGGGAATAAAAAAAAAAAAAAAACGACGATCGAAGGTTCGACAGTACATCACGTACAGCCCTTGCGCGTATTCACAAATTCGGGCATCCAATTCACAAAAATGATTTTTCGTAAGCGCATGATCAGATATGTCAGCAGGCTTCGCCAACGATATATCTAGCATCGTGACTGGCCGAAATATTCTCCAAGGAAAGCTTTTAGCCTTAGACGCTTTCGCGAATACTAGCCCAGAAGCTGAACCGTCCCATGAGGAGTTCCCATTGACAAACCCAGAAGCTGAACCGTCCCAATCAAGTTTCCATTGACACGAACATGCAATCGAAGCAGTGAACAAAAGTGATAAGAGCTACGCATGAAGGTATGTATATAGGTTGGTGCTGTCTATATAGCATACATGTAAAACGGAGTGGCTTCACCTGGACCAGAATAGCGGTCACCAATCGCTTACCGCGTTTACCAATATATCTACAGTCCGCGAGGCTTAGCAAGAAGCCAATCACGTGGTCAAAACTCTGAGCGCGCGCTTCAAGGTCACCGCGATAGGCGCAAGTGGCGGCCGAGAGATATAGGCATCCACGCGTGATGGCCTGATATGAGGAGGGAACCTCGTGGATGTACGCTGCAGCGTCGTTAGCTGTTTTCCTGGTCGGGAAGCTGGACGCTTGCGTTCCTGTAGAGGACGTAGTGCTGGAGGATGAAGAGCACGTCGAAGGCCATGCTGATCAGGCTGAGTCCCACTTTGACCACGTTGCCGAACAGCGACGTCCAGTCGTCTGCACATATGCGCATAGTCGTGTATTAACAGATACTTCATCAATAGCACTTGCACATATGCCAAGAAAGAATCCATCAAGCCACTACAAATGACGTGCAAAGACTGAACCATTCCGATGAGCACTGAATAAGCAATGGGGTGTTTTAGTGCTGGGAACTCCCATCCATTGCGTTCATGCGTTATCGTGTCCTTTTGTTCCCCCCTCCGCTTTTTTTTTTTTCATCTATTCGTTAGCGGCACACAAGGAGACAGCGAAGGAACTAGAGCTTGCGTACGCAACCCGGCTGGGCACTAAAGCTCTCTAATGTGAAACAAGGTGCAATCAAAATACAAACATCAAGATGCGTGTTATAAACCCAATGTTACGTGAATGACAGCCTTTATACACCAGAAATGTTTCGTAGAAGTCGATCTGTGCCGACTATGTATTGGACATAGACGCCTAACCAACAATTTTTCTCTCTCGCATGAAAAAAAAAAAAAGCAACAACGACGAAAAACAACCGATTTGAGAGAGCCGTGGATACATTTTAATCAATTTGCGGCCTTTTATTCGAAACCACAAAGCGTGAATAAAAACCACTTTTTCATCACTTATACCAGCAAGGCAAGGTCATTTCATCCTGAATGTCTCCCCAACAGCTATAGACCCAGAACGAAAATATCTAATCTGATTTTTAAAATCTACAGAAGCACTGCATATCTCTAAGACATTTATGAGCGAGACCTTCACTTCGAGCTATAGGAAGACCGAAACACGATAAGGTGAAATAACAACGGAGCGAAATTGACCGAAGTTTCCACAGTTTTTTGCAGCACAGTTTTATCCGAAAACGTTGTTGATAAATATGTTTCAATATTTAGCTTGCTTTTTAAGTTACAGTTCGAGCCCAGCGGGGACCAAATATTTCTTCGTTACAGCCGGTAATGCATATCACACGTCTTCGAGTACGTTAGAAATATAAACGATGCAACTGAGTTTTTTAAAATTTTATTTGCTACATATTTTTTGAAATTTTATTTACTACATATATATAAAAATACGGGAAGGCAGGCTTTGTTAGAACCGGCTATCCCAACGCCATGCAGTAATGTGCAAGACATACGCAAAAATAAAATAATAAAAGATGATAAATATTAAAAGAAAAAAAAATAATCAGATGCACATGTACAGCCGCCCATTTTCTTAACCTGAACGCGCGAGCGTCAACCACTCAGTCAATTAGCGCCGTATAACGAAGCATGGCGGTGAAATGAACAATGATACGTGCATGCACTCAATGGACAGTTCCATGCAGTTTTTTTTCTGCCACACTGTACCGGTAACCGGACACTCGGACGCCAGGAACCGGCGCATATTGACTCGGTGGTCGACGCTGATGCGTTCAGGTTAAAAAAAAAAAAAGGCCGGCTGTACATATTCAGGTTGTTGCAAAAAATGTGTTCAATATTACTTAAGAATTACAGAAAAGAGGCATCTGCACGCTACCTGCGAGCATATCTGATCTTGACTATGAGATGTGCTCAGTAATGTCTCAACGTTACGACAAGGAGCAAGGTGATGTACAGACAGCTAATTAATTAATTACTTATGTGCCCATTCAAAAACCACTAGGAGCGCTCACCGCAGGCTTTGAAAATCAGGACGTGGCCACGGTCCAAGCCCTTTGCCAATTGTAAGTGGTCGTCACTTGAGGCGGTTCAACCGATCACTCCATTGAGCGCGTTGTTCATCACATCGCGGACATTCTATAATGATTTGCTCCACAAACGCATCGGCATGATCACTGTGGTCGCAGTGAGGGGACGTTCTTTTTGTATGGCATACGAATTGAGGTGTGTATGCAACACCTAATTGCAGATGGTGCAGTCGTGAGTCGGAGAAACGAATATATTTGATATGTCGATGAAAGTGTGACCAACCAGAGTTCCAGAGTCAATAATTCGCTATATCAGTGTTCGTTACACGAGGTTATCTCTTCGTATCCAGAAGAACTTCGTTATAACGAGGTTGTGTGTACGAAAAGAGAGGACATCTTTCTAGATTTGTCAGTGAGGAAACGCTCGAACACCTACCGGGGACTTGTTCGGGCTTTTACAAGGCACCCACACCTATATGCGGCCTTGACTACCGCCCCGGTCGACCGCCTGTCTTAACGGGCTGGGCACATAGTCCTCTGCATCTACCACTTCTGGCATTTATTCAAGTTCCTTTTTTTATTTAAATTATGTGGTAGGGCACACTGGCACCAATTCAAAAAGGCCAAAAAAAAAAAAGCATGTCTCACTGTCTTAACGGGCTGGGCACATAGTCCTCTGCATCTACCACTTCTGGCATTTATTCAAGTTCCTTTCTTTATTTAAATTATGCGGTAGGGCACACTGGCACCAATTCAAAAAGGCCAAAAAAAAAAAAGCATGTCTCACTATAGACTTTCCGGTAAGCAACTCGCAATGCAACTTTGGGAGGAAAGTTCGCCAAGTTGTACGGACACTGGTGGCCTTCGTGATAACTTAAAACGAGAAACGCACAAACTTCGATCGTCAAGGGGGAAAATTAAGAACGCACGGGGCTCATCCATTCAACCGTACCGCCACGGTGGTCTATAGCTAACGTACTCAGCTGCTCACCCGCAGGTCGCGGGATCGTATCCCGGCTGCGGCGGCTGCACTTCCGATGGAGGCGGAAATGCGGTGGGCCCGTGTACTCAGATTAGGGTGCACGTTAAAGAACCCCAGGTGATCAAAATTTACGGAGCCCTCCACTACGGCGTCTCTCATGATCATATGGTGGTTTTGGGACGTTAAACCCCACATATCAATCAATCAAAATAAATCACCATCCATTAAACCGTGCCGCCGGCAAGCCACGTAAATATACATCACAAGCGTGCGCGATCGCTTGTGCGTGTATAACAAATTGCCTCGCACTTGGAGCCACGAGGCGTCACAGCAGGGTTCCGAGTATTTTTGCGCGCTCGATAGCTCATCTTTAGTGTTTTCTTAACGAGGCGCGGTAACAACCTTAGTAGTGTGGTGCTGAAGCCTCACGGCGGTAAGAAAAAACAAAAGAGTGAATGTACCCATGCACGCATGAGGTCTACGAACAGCAATCTCCGATGCGAGTAACTCACATAAAACTATCCCTTCACTGCGAAAGCATGTCTAACGAAACTCTACAGCATTCAGGAATGACGCAGTTTACCACCCAGTGTGCTGATTGGCGAAGTCGGTGACCTTTGGCAAAGCAACAGTAGTGATACAAGCAGAGATGTCTGTGTGCTTTCATATTTTTTTTTACTGACCTCGACAACAGAGCACTACTGCGGGAGAGATACGTAGATAGAGCGCATCCTTAACAAAAGCGAGATAAGAAAAAAAAAGTCGTATACAATAGTGCATGCATGTCTTAAAGGGGTAAAAGAGAGCCAAAGATGGCTAGAGAATTTTGAGCAGAGAGGAGTTCATATGTGAGAAAATGTGGTCGTTATTGTGCCACAGGCGATGTAAACTATTCATGCGAGAAACGTTTGCATATGCGGACGGGCGCGCATAAATTCACCGTCATTCGGCGCATTTTTACGTATCTGACGGAATGCCCAGATGCCGACAGTCCTAGAGGAAGAGAAAGGGGAAAAAGAAAAGAGACAGCATTACGACACACGAGTGAAGCCCACCGCGTCGGCCCAACACGTGATCAAAACGTCAGTGGTAGGTTTTAGTATTCTCGGTGGTGTTCAGTTTTTGAACTTCCTGCGTGAGCTGGCCGGTCTGCACCGCACCATAGAGTTTCACAAAATTAACTAGAGGGCTCTCTGGCGCTGCGATCGTTCAGCGACCATGGGAATGATGGGTAGTACACACATTTGCCTAGTCTTCGTACTTGCGGGCGGCGAATCGTACTTGCGGCTTCGTTTATTGCTGTGTTTCGGTTTTATTTTGAAAGAAAGATTGAACCCTTTTGAACTTAGTGAGCCGATTTGGAAAGTAAGTCTAAAAAAATAAAATGCTGAAGCGCAACCGCTGATTATTTGCTAATACTTGTTTCGTAAGAAAACAACTCCAAGCCACACGAACACACACGGAGCAAAAAGCAGGCCAGAAGTACGAATATTAGACAAAAGTGTGTACTACCCATCATTTCCATGCTCGCTGAAGCGTCGTGCGTTGCAGATCCCATAGACACTTGCGCCAGAGTATTTCTAATAAGTATTGTAGGAAACTCTATGCACCGAACAAGCTCGTTTCGATCAAAAGATTAAAAACTACGAAGCGCCATACCCCGAAGTGTCGGCAAGTCTCGTTGCATGCGCGATCTTGCGCAAAAAGTCACGTGTTGGGCCGACAATGCTGGCTTCAAAACGGCATGCCTTGCCAACGCTGGCTGCGTGACGTCACGCTCCCTCCTTTCTTTCTTTTTTTTTCCTCTCCACGTGGACGGTGCTGATGCAAAACATGCTTACTGGACAGGAAAGCAAAAGTGGAAATGAATTCCGATTCCGGGACTCTTATGACGTCTTCAGTAATCGCGTCCGCCGGCGGGACCCCCGCATGCGGGCCCGGCGGACTGCGGAGGCGCCGCCGGGAAGGGCGCCTTCCCGTGACCGTCTAAGGAAGGAGCAGGATTCACGAAGAATGCAATCGAGAAGCGAAAGCTTGCGCAAGGTTCACAATTAGGAAGGTAAAGTACCCCGCTTCGCCCCCCTCCTCCCACCCCCTCCGAGCCGCAGTTGGTCGAGTTAAAAAGAAACAAGCTTCGCAATGGATAAAAAACTGAACCATGGCGAGCTCATCACAACGGCCAACTCCAGGCCCCCTGCTTTCTAAATATAAAGATGTGGGCAGTACGTGGGCAGTTCTCGGAGCGCAACATCAAGGGTCCAAATCTGCTAAAGTGAGGGTAAGTGTTGTACTTCGAAAAATGTTGAGAAACTGCTTGACGAAAGGCTCTTTACTATAGGCAGATTTTGTGACCGCCGAGCGCGAGCGACAACCAAAGCCGCTGATCGTCTTCGTCACCTTCTGTGACAGCGGAGCGGCGGTCATTCGCATTCAGCACACTACCATTATTGTCGAAACCTTCACGGTCATAGCCTTTCAATTTAAACAATGATCGGATGGGTCCGATTGTGTAAAGGTATGAGACACACTTGGCGCCATCTTAGATGGTTGGGGTGTGGGTTGCTTCTCTATATGTACACACCTACCAAAGGAAACATGACGCAATGCGTTCTGTGGTTGATCGATTGATATGTGGGGTTTAACGTCCCAAAACCACCATATGATTATGAGAGGCGCCGTAGTGGAGGGCTTCGGAAATTTCGACCACCTGGGGTTCTTTAACGTGCGCCCAAATCTGAGCACACGGTCCTACAGCATTTTCACCTCCATCGAAAATGCAGCCGCCGCAGCCGGGATTCGATCCTGTGACGTGCGGGTCAGCAGTCGAGTACCTTAGTCACAACACCACCGCGGCGGGGCTACGTTCTATAGTTACGAGAAGCGTCTGCGAGCGTTCTGTTTTCCGTTCTGTATTTTATCATAACAATTGCCGATATACAGAACAAAGCCCGTAGGAGTGGTCAAACAACAGAGCACTATAGGGCAAGATTAGGTCACTGACTGATAAGGAAAGGCCGCACAAAAGCTAAGTTTCACTGACCTAATATGGCGGAGCCTATTTGTGATTACCTGCTTGGAACTGAACATAAGCTGTTCGACGAGCGATACACTCACCGTAGTTGTAGGCGATTATCACCATTTGGAGCAGGCTCAAGCTTCCCCCAGTGAAGTCGAGCAGTATGTTGCCGATGCTCCATCCTATCGTGGACTTCCTCACGTAGTTGAGGTAAGCCTGGATACAGAGACCAAAAGATACCGCTGTTGCACCCTGTACAGCAACACTAGCAACACGCGACAGTTTCAAGAAAAGGAAGAAATGTAATAGGAGTTGCAGGTGGATCATGTTTGTGCAATGAACATTTCTTTCGCATTTTTTTTTGCTCCTCCCATCTGCGCAGGCACATACCTTCCAGCCGGCACTCACACTGAATGATCAACATTTCTTTTCTATCATCTTTTATTTCCCTCATCCCTTTCCCCAGCACAGGGTAGCCAGCCGGTCTAAGAACTGCCTAACCTCCATGTCCTTCCACTTAATCTCTTCTCCTCTCCTCCCTGTCTCTCCTATATCTTCCTCATCAGCCCGGAGCTTAGCATCTCAAGCATTTACTACACTTTCGAACACTATATGCACGGTATTCCTCTACGATAACCTAGACGTACAGTGTTAATACATGATAGTATCTAGATGTTTAGGAAGCGTCGCGGGCGTACCTGTGGCAGGTACTTGGTGAGGGTGATGACGAGCTTGCAGTAGGAGAAGTAGTAGAGGTACAACAGCCACGGAGTCCTCCAGTGATTGCCCGCGGCAAGAGTGACCACTCCGAAGATAGCGGTTCCCGCCCACACCACTGCCAGAAGCAGCCGTGCTGGCAGCGAGACACTTTGACCCCGGCGCTGCGGTCATACAAGAACAGAACGCCAGACACGTGCAGTCTCAGAGAAGGCTATATACTGGGGTGCATTATTCTGTGACAATCCCGCGATAATTTCCGGTTTCAGAGATTTCTCCCAAGTAGATCCTCGCGAGGACTAGCGGGAGTTAAGGACGCATGCGCACACGAATCGGAAACGGCGAGTAAGAAGCTTTCACTCGTTTTCGCGGGCTGAGCCTAAGAACAGTGATACTATCGCACAAAGTGAACACCCCCCCCCCCCCCCCCAAAAAAAAAACAGCCTGAGCGCGCAGGGAACACGTGTGTGACATTGAGCTGCTGCAATTCATTGCAATTGAACAATTAAATAGGATATACTTGAATAAAAATGCCGACATTCGAGTCACAATGACGTGCTACGGTGAAGTTGAATAGATGGCAAAAAGGACGAAACGCAAAGTTCATGAAAGACACAGTACGCAGTTCTGTGTCTTCTTCGCATCTTGTGAAGTACCTGCTGTTATTCCCATGACCTATACATCATGTGCACCAACTATGTAGCGAGGCAGAAAATGTTGACAAAGCAAGAATTTCTTGGGCATGCGCAAAATGCACTGGGACGTGACACTGTGCAATAATTCAGAGCTAGAGGAACAACAGCAAACTCTGGCCCGACGGGCTCGCGAGGCAGCTTCGACCAACGACATCCCGTACTATATAGGGTTGTCGATCAGCCCGGCGAGGATAACATCAAATACTTTAATAAAAGCTTATGCTGCCGCTATATACTGCTGCTGCAGCAGAACGCACGAGTATCCATGTATATCCCGAGACCACGCAAGCTTAGAATAACACAGGGCTGATCTATAGTTGGTAGGTATTATTTCTAAAAGGCAGCGCGTGTAATATCAGACGCAAGAGATGATTCAAAACAGCGCAAATGCTGGCGTTTACGGTGTCTTGACTTCTACCTGCCTCTTTGGAATGCACACTTATCACGCAAGTGTTTAAAAATTGATTTCAGAAAAAAGACTGTGCGTTAACAGGTGTTCCGCGGACAAAGTTTAACCGAGCGAATAGAGAGAACCCAGAGAAGGTATTCAAAAAAGGATTACCTCGTAAATGCAGCACTGCACGACCGTGATGAAGGTGGCCAGCGCAGCGTGCAGGCCGAAGACGATGTCGTTCAGCTCCACCGGGATGACGCCAGTCGGGTGCAGCTCTCGGTACTCCTCCTTTTCGCGGAGTGCGCGATACGTCATTATAATTGTCGTGATCGTTCGCATATATGTTTTGTTCACTGCAGGACGGAAGTCTATGACATACAACACAGCCCGTATACCGCGCAAGCCAACTCCATTTACCGCCCTGCTAATTTCTTGATTTCGTAGCTCCACCTATAAACTTCGGCTGCGCTTCCCACCGTAGAATTTCTTAAAGTTAACTATAGAGGGGACTCTGGATCTGTGATCGTTCAGCGACCACGTGAATTATGGGTATTGCACGGATTTGCTTAGTCCTCGTGTTCCGGTGGAGGCGGAAATGTTGTAGGCCCGTGTGCTCAGATTTGGGTGCACGTTAAAGAACCCCAGGTGGTCGAAATTTCCGGAGCCCTCCACTACGGCGTCTCTCATAATCATATGGTGGTTTTGGGACGTTAAACCCCACATATCAATCATATCAATGCTTAGTCCTCGTGCTTGCGGGCGGTGGCAAACGCACTTGTGGCTTCGTTTATTGCTGCGTTTTGGTTTTGTTTCGAAGGAAAGAACAAATCGTTTTTCACTTCGTGACCCGATTCGAAGTGGAAAGCCTGAAAGATTAGGGTGGTGAAGCGAAACTGCCGTACATTTACCGATTGTTGTTTCGGTATACAAAGCAGCTGCAATCCATGCGAGTCCAGAACGAACGTAATGTATACCTATAGGCGAATCCATGTCATACCCGTGATTCCCATGCTCGCTGAAGCGCTATGCGCTGCTGCTCCCATATACACTAGCGCCAGAGTTTCCTCTAGTGTATATTTAGGCAACTCTATGCTACCCACCTCTTGGTATGGCAGTTTCGTCGCTCTAAATTTACCACGCAATGTTTGTCAGTCCTTCTTATGACGTGACGTGCCCCGGTCAGCATCAATTTCTTTATTATTATGTGTTGCAGCCATCATTTTGCTTACCCGCCACGGTGGTCAAGCGGTTCTGGTGTCACTACTGCTGAAACGCCGGTCACGGAATTGAATGCCTGCTCCGGCGGCCGCATTTTCGATGGGGGTGGAAATGCTCGAGGTATAGGTTCACGTTAAAGATCATCAGGTGGCCTGAATGTCCAGAGCCCTCCACTACGGCGTTTATCATAACCATATTGTGTTTTTTTGTACGTTAAGCCCCAACAATTACTATTATTATTCTTTTTTATTCCACCACCGAGTGTGTGGTATTTCCACCTCGGAGCCTCGGATGTATTGTTATAGTATTATGATAGGCTATGCCACAGTCGAAAAACTATAGGTAGACTAAGGAAGACAAACATCGACAAGTTGTTAGTTTATTTTAAGGCGGCTTTTCTCGTTAAGCGACGTTTTTCTCGAGATTTCCAACACTCCTGATAAGGTCATCAAATAAAGAAAAGCGCGACCTTCATTGTCTGTCCACTGCAGTTTCATTCGCCTGCCTTAGGCAGCTTAAACGTATAACTGCCGCTGACAAGATGCGGAAGAATATCCTCGAAAGACCAGCGAGCGCAACATTTTAGCGTGCTTCTCCAGGTTTCTGACACCAAAGGACAGTCAACATTTTTTTCCCCTGCTTGCACACTTTCTTTTTCCTGAACTTTAGAAAAGCAGAGTTTTGGGCCAGTTAGCAAAGTTTAAGCATAATTGGCCAACCGAAGCACAACGAATGGGCCAGAATGGCGAGCGTCTGTCTCACTTTTCAATTCCGTTTACTGAGCTTCACTTTGCCAGGCTTCCCATTGAAACTCCCGTATTCGATTATATTTCACGTATACGTTACATTATATGGAGTAACTAACAGTTCGTTTACGGATGTCTCCACGACGGCGGAGCCTACCTGAACGACGCGGCTGAAGTACATGCCCAGGTTGAAGAACGAGTAGGCCAGGAATCCGGTCAGGTTGAGACCGACGAAGTCGAAGCTTAGTCCTTCAACGCTGCGAGGCACAAAACAACAGAAAGCGTCAAGTTGGGAGACAGAGGGAGCCAGCCGGTCGTCCGCTGAGACCAATGAAGGAAGGTCACTTGGAAATTAGCGTATTTTATCTATGACAATGAAGACAGCAAAACGCGCTTGCGTTGAACTGATCATGCGCCTTTCTAATCGAATTTCCGCGCGAACGTCTGAGGCGATTAAGAAAAAGGAAGAAAAAGAGAAAGACAGTTACAGTCAATGCGATGACACCAGTTAATGATTTGCCTGTTAAATTACTTATCCGTAGCCACGTTCAATGTACTGACGATTCGAAGACACTCCGCCAGCATATAGCAAAAACGCGCCAACCATCTCCCCCCACTGGCTTGCACGGAGGATATATGCATCAGCCAACTATCGGCGTTGTGGAAAGCGCGTCAAACTTCCGAACGGACTCGCCTGCACACAGGTCATTCTATGCACGTGTTTCTACACCGGGACGGGACGGCACTCTCTCGCTGGATTTCGTGCCGACCGGTTGTGCACCCGCGATCTCCGACGATAGCGCAGTTCTGGCCGACTGGGCTCGCCCTACGCCATAGCCTGACGCCGACAAGGGCTCTCGCCGAGTGATGCCCCGTCCTCGGACTCCTGCGACCGTGTCCATCTTTCCTATCTTCTCCTTACTTCCGTCGTACACTGCCCCTGCACCTCGCTCTCTCCTCCATCTCTTTCTATCTATTTGCCTTTTAATCCTATCCTTTTAATCCCTCCTTTACCCCCACCCCTCGTGAGCTACTACTGTTGAGGTGTCCTCCCCCTGAGAGACAGTTACGGGGCCCACTTTTCTCTTCTTTTCATTTAAAATCACCCCCCCCCCCCCCCCCCCCCGCGTGATGATGAGGCATATGTGCCTGAGCCATAGCGACGAGGGCATCAGACTTCTGTACTAGAGTTCCCGAGTTCAATTACAACCCTCGGAACCTTTTAATAATGTCCATACGGTGTTCATATGCCCAATCGCAGTTAAACGGCGTCACTAGCACGTGCGTGTGGACGACGTCAAACCAAAAGCTGGATCATTCACCCACTCAGACGTGTCATGCTTAAAAAAAATTGCTACTCAAAAAAAAAAAACCCAAAAAACTCCCGGTGTCCCATATATGCACTCGCCTAAAACGAATCGAAAGCGGCAAAAGGCCATCTGTTATTTCCCCCCTCCCCCCTCCACCGACAGCCTTCTGTAACTAACGTAGTGTTGCACTGCCTCAAGAATTGGATTGAAGGCATTGTTAGCTTTCTGCGCGTCACCTGGTTTCGCATTTACCTCCGTGATAGGCGGCTATTACCAGGCGACAATGTCATGCGATGACGTCATTCGTACGACATTACACTGACGTCACAAATTTTGACGATGTGTGGCGTCACGTTCAAGTCTAATGCTTACGTCATCACTTGATAATTTTTTTTTCATCACTCGTGTTGACACCGACGCTGCGGGACGGCGGTCATTTCGCGTTTGATGATGCATCTAAGTTTTTCGCTTTAACAAACGCCGAAAAAGCTCCCGTTGAAGCGTACCCACCACTTTCGCTTCCAGTTGAGGTAGATCTGAGGGTAGAAGGATACGGACCAGGCCAAAAAGTAGATCCAGCCAACCACGTCACTCAAAATCTCCAGCCAGGCTAGCTTGAAGACCTCGACGTGGACGAAGGAGTCGGCCGTGCTGCAGGCGACACATCCGTGACGTCAGCCATTTAGTGCACAAACGTTGGGCTCCATGTGGCTGCCTAAACGGTAGATCTTTCCGATTTCCATGCCCCATCAGCGCTTGTACCGTTTTCATGTGCACATATTTTATGTGGGTCAAAGGGGGCGGGGTTGCAATGACCGTGCATTCTCGAACATTCATGTAAAGTCAGCCAAGAGGGGAGAGAACGTGAACTGTCATGCATTGTATCTCAATGAATGCGGCTGCCAGCCGCACTTCAAAGGTTAAGTTATAATCTCTAGATACCGTGATGAGCGCGCATGTCTCAATAGCTGGAGCCTTCCATGATCACAACAGCGGTGAGGCGTCTGTACGCCTCCCATTCATTTCACGCTTTCCGAAGGAGATATCTTTCGCGTTAATTTGACGACAGTATTAGTTATGGCAGTGCTGGGTTTGTTCTTTTCTGGTGTCTTGTTCTCTTGCAAAAAGTGTTTGAGTATGTGTATGCGTGAAATAATGAACACCGAGTTGTTAGTTAGCGCAGTGGTATGCGTTCTTTCGTATCGTACCGTCTTATAGCGGTGCATCCCATGGATATGACAATGAATCAACTATATAGGCCCAACGCGTACCGTTCTGCCGATATAAACTATTTCGCGAGTGTGTTTCGGTTCTGCCACACTGAGACGTTAACCTCACCACTTCGTATCGTGAACAGTGCTACAGTGGACACACACATTAAAAGGGTTTGGTTGGGGCATTCGATCAACGTTTGCTGTTTTTTTTTTTTTCAATTCACGTCGCGGTATGCAAATCTAAGGAAACGTTTGCTTTTCAGTTCAAGGTGGTAGCGCTCATGTGGCTTATAAAAACTCACAGCGTTTCGTGTGCATTCGTTTAAAACGACACGAAGGCTATATCGCCATTTTGTTTTTCTCCTGGTTACATGTTTATCGTCTTCCCCGTCCAAAGGCTTCCAGCACCTCCTCGCCTGGTTTTGAGCATCCTAATTGATTGGCCCGGCTTTTACCATCATTCAACGTTATAATGACGCAATATTGACGTCACTACGTCAATCTTCATTACGGTGCACATAATTGTCATGACGACGCCACGAATCAAGGCGATTTGCGACGTCATCACACTACGATGATTTTTTTTTTTCGCATCACTCGCGTTTCCACCACCCAAGGTCAATTTTGGCGTTTCATGTAAGGCTTCCACTTTAAATCGTCTTCACCGCGTAGACGGGCCATGCAACCATGGAGACATGCTGAAGTCACCAAGCTAAGTTTTATCGCCCCATCTTTTGGTGCGCGCACTTGTGAAGCGGGCACAATGATGTTGCTAGGAGAGAACATAATCGAACCTGACGTTAGGCAGCGAGGTGTTCAGCGTGACGGTAGCGTGCCCGGCTCCGACGGCCGTGACGTTGATCCATGCGGGTTCGGTTCCCACCAGGGGTATCCACGGTGGCCCCGGCAGGGTGACAGCGCTGCATCCCTCTTTTACAGCTGCGTGCACTTCAACGCTCTCGTTCGAGGCTCGACTGCAAGCAACGGTCCGAACGCTTTCTTAGCGACAGCCGTCGAAGCCCTCCCCGACCATCACGCGCACTGATTTTCTATAACTGTACAGGGGCCTTCCCATAAAACGAATTCACGGACTCTCGTCTACATCTCGCTTCCAAGATGCGTGACATCTTCTCGGGTACCCCAGAGTACCCTTCGAACAGCGGCAAACCCCACATTTAGTCCTGGCTTGTCATCTCCCCAATACTTGCCATGCCAGAAAAGTTGAGCGTAAGTTCGCTTTACGTTACGGAAGGGCTGCACTCTTTAATATTTAACCTTGTTTGTTTTCTTTTACTCTTTTTTGTCTCTTCACAATTCACGAGCGCTGGAACGCACGTACGCGCTTCAGAAAATGATCTGGGCCCGTATTCCAGAAAAGCGTCTCACGCGGAAAATGTTCGTTAGAGAAGTGCAGCCCGTCACAATACGGGACACGAAGCCGGCTGACCGATAGGAAAACGCACTTACGAAAGAGAAGTGTCGTAAGTTCACCGGAATCCCTTCTAAGGCTTTTCTTGTCTTAATGTAAAATTAACGTAAATGCTATCCAAATGAGGCGTTTTACAGAAATGTAGAATAAATAAATTGAAGAATAAAATCAAGAAACGAGAGAGCGCACTAAAAAAGAAAGTTATTAATGTCATAATATAGAACTTAGAACCGCGGTTATATATACTCACTCAAGATGAACGTAGAATCCTGATTCGCTCCCGATAGCGATGGTGATGTCCTGCGGCGACGAAATCAACTCCAAAGTGTTGCCTGAAATCCGAAAGCGAACAACGCGATGAAGGCAGTGTTTCGGTGGCCATTATATACGCTCCACTCAAACCTTCACGCCTCGTTACCCAGTCTTCCATGAGGAAGGACAATATAGCACGCACGGCGCTTACAACACGAATTTTACTGGATGTCCCGAAAAGGCAATCAGATACAAGCAATTTATAACTTGACATTGATACGGGGTTATCCCCTAATTACCCGCCCCTGCACAACAGGGAAGGAAACCGGTTCTCCTACCAGGTTAACCTTCATTTTTCCTTTTGCCTATTTCTCACTCTCTTTCTCTCTATCCTCAGAAGCAAAAAGCAGGATTATCGTTCACTCAACTTCAGCAAAGCCACAACAGCGCAGGAGTTCTTCGATGAGACCCTTGCACGGTGCGATGCACTTTCATACTTCATCATGACGGGAGTGAAATCCAGACCATCAGATGCGATACTGCAGGGATTCGTCCAGTGTTTGCACCGCCAACGAAAGGCATGAACTATAGTGACTGATCTAATCAGATAAAATTAAGAGATAAAGATAGAATGTTGGGAATTTGCACTTCATGCTTGAACTCTAGATTAAGCTGTGACGCCCCAAACTCGCTGCGGTTGATGTGCGACACTTATACTCTGCAACTCGAGAAAAAAGCAGCTTTTCACCGTCAAAAGACCATCTTCCTGCCAAATAGCATCGAGGCCACTTTGTGACACGTTCTGTGACACGATTTGACACAAGCTTTGTGATACCTCTTGTGAGATCTACGCGAAGGCGGTCTGCCGCAGGGTCCCAATAACAAGGCGACGCCATTGGCTGGAAGGAGGTCCTTTGACGGCGAGAAGCCGCTTTGTTTCTCGAGTTATAATAGAGTGTAAGTGCATAAGAGCTTCGGAACGTCAGTCTTATCAAAGCGTACTAGTAGTCATTAAACGCACATGTTGAGGTATTTCAGTTTCGTGCGTTTCATACTGACATTCCTGCTACATCACCAATTCTTACTGCTGTGTCTGTCGTTCTAACCTGGTGTCACCGTCAGTAGGCAGCAGCACAGCAGCTGGAACGTTGCCATCGCGTCGGTGAGCAGGAACGGACTTGACAGTGTTGTTTTCATGCTGGAAAACAATAAAAAAAGAAAGAACGGATACGTGCAAGCCGTAAGACGAGTCAGCTCTATACGAACAAGCATTTACACGTGTGTTATAAGCGCTTGCTCGAGCATGTATTCCGCACACGCGAGCATATTTTTGTCACGCGTGTTATTTGAATTCCCGTGCAGCAGACGCTTACGCATAATAATCACAACGCCTTTGCTCCATCTCATCCTCGTGTCAAACAGTTCCTACTGGTAGTTTGTGTAAGGAACTCTACTGTCGCCACTGTGGCGCGAAAAGGGAAAAACCAAGAATTGGAACACATGGTAGCAAACAAAACAATAGCCAAATCAGTCAAGTTAGATCCACATGCACACTTCTGTCGCGGTGTTTCCATCTCTAAATGCAGGATGTTTTCGAGCCCTCCAGTTAGTGCTAACCCGCCGCGGTGGTCCAGTGGCTAAGGTACTCGGCTGTTCACCCGCACGTTGCGGGATCGAATCCCGGGTGCGGCGGCTGCATTTCCGATGGAGGCGGAAATGCTATAGGCCCGCGTGCTCAGATTTGGGTGCACGTCAAAGAACCCCAGGTGGTCGACATTTCCGGAGCCCTCTACTACGGCGTCTCTCATAATCACATGGTGGTTTTGGGACGTCATACCCCACATATCAATCAATAGTCATTGCTACTGCTGACAACTATTCAATCACGAAGCGTGAGTGTCTCGCTCTTGTGTGGGCAGTCGCCAAGTTCCGCCCATACTTATACGGGCGTCCATTCCGGGTAGTCACCGACCACCACTCGCTCTGCTGGCTGGCCTCACTGAAGGATCCCACAGGACGCCTCGCTCGTTGGTCCCTACGTTTACAAGAATACACGTTCACCGTAACGTACAAAAGAGGGCGGTCGCATCAAGATGCGGATTGTTTATCACGCTACCCGGTGGAAGAAGCTGCCCATACTGACACCTTTCCAGACCTTCTGTCTGTAACGCAGCTACTCAACCTTGGCCACGAACAACGCCGGGATGCTTCCCTGCGAACCAACATTGACAAGCTTGAGTCAATGCCTCGCGACGCACGTCTACAAATGTTCCTGGTAAAAGACGGGATCCTGTATCGCCGTAACCTCGATCCATATATGGCCATGACTTGCTCCCCGTCATACCAGCACATCTTCGTGCGACTGTCCTCAACCAACTTCATGACGCTCCTTTGGCGGGCCACTTGGGCGTCTCTCGCACATACGACCGTGTACGTCGTCGTTTCTTTTGGCCTGGTCTTGCCCGCTCTGTTCGACGCTACGTCGCCGCTTGTGAGCCCTGCCAGCGCCGCAAAAAGCCATCCTCCCTACCAGCTGGATTTCTTCAGCCTATCGACATTCCCACTAAACCTTTTTTTCGAGTTGGCCTCGACCTGCTTGGCCCATTCCTGATCTCCAGCTCAGGCAACAAATGGGTTGCCGTCGCCACTTACTATGCGACACCGTGCGCTATCACACGAGCACTTCCGACGAGTTGCGCAACCGATGTGGCGGACTTTCTGGTATACGATATTATTTTAGTACACGGAGCTCCACGCCAACTTCTCACTGACCGGGGCCGGACCTTCCTATCAGCTGTCATTGATGAAATCCTGCGCTCTTGCTCTGCCAAGCACAAGTTTTCCACTTCGTACCATCCGCGAACGAACGCTCTTACGGAGCGCCTCAACCGCACCATAACCGACATGCTTTCTAAATACGTAGCGGCCGACCACCAGGACTGGGACGTTCATTTGCCATTTGTGACGTTCGCATATAATTCGTCACGTCACGACACTGCCGGATATTCACCATTCTATCTTCTATACGGCCGAGAACCCGCCCTACCATTTGACACCTTGCTGCCCTCGGTCACTGAGTATGCCGGCGAAGCCATCGCGCGAGCCGACCACGCACGCCAACTCGCTCGCAGCCGCCTGCAGGCCTCACAGGAGCACCAAAGACAGCTCTACAATTCCCATCATCGAAACGTGCACGTTTTACCGGGTTTCCTTTGTCCTCCTCTGGTCCCCTACTCGGCGTGTAGGGCTTTCTGAAAAACTGCTGTCACGCTACACTGGACCATACCGCGTCGTTCGCCAGGTGACTGACGTTACATACGAGATTATTCCAGCCGATCATCATCGACAGCTTCGAGCGACATTGTGCACATAGCTCGATTCAAGCCTTATCACCCTCCTTCTACCGCATACGAGTAGCTCAAGCACCGAGACGGTGCTTCTGCCACCGGGGGTTATGACACACAACAGCCGCCACAGCCTTGCTGCATGAAAGAGTAAGACGACGTCGGTTGCTGGTTGTTGATGAACTGTCGCCACCTTGTTCGCCGAGCACGGTCCATCGTATATAATTTATTAAATAAGTTACTCGTAACATTATTAAAGAAGACCTTAAACATAAGGCTGCTTGTAAGTAAATCGCTAACACACACACACACACACACACACACACACACACACACACACACACACACACACACACACACACACACACACACACACACACACACACACACACACACACACACACACACACACACACATGCACAAATATGCGTAGCTAGCTTAATGCAACATATTCGAACAGAGTCCGCGCACGGAGGAATAAGAGGAATAAACGCGAGTGCGAACGCAGAATGTTTTCAGAAAAATAAAGTTTTTCCATTCCATGCCAATGTTTTAAGACCTCTTTGTCACCATTTGAAGTAAAGTAGGTGATGATAAAAATAATATTTTCTTCGGTCTTGCGTGCTCCGGACTGCACTGGTTACGTTTGCCGATTACGCCTGGTTTGAGAGGTCCCAACTTATAGCATGCATGACCGTTGAGAATGAATGCTCAAATGTAGGTAGTCTATCTCAAATTATACGTGTTATCGGTATATAAAAACCATTAGAGCGTGTTGGGACGTGCCAAGCGTGGCGTTACGATGTTCCAGACAGGCGCCTCGACACCCGTAGGCTCCACGTGCTGTCTGCAATGTAAGGAAACTTACGAGCCCAAGTTTGCCCACCAAAGTGCACCCACCAATGCACACGTCTGCTTTCATGCTCCTTGAATTGAAAAAAGAAAAAATCACAGCATATCCACGAGGTGAATGATGACGAGTGGGGCAAAGCGGACGGACTGACGGACGCTTCGCCCCACTCATCATCATTCACTCCGTGGATATGCTGTGACACACTGGCTACTATACGACGACTACGGCGACACGGGACATACTACCCGCGGCGTAAGGAGCTTCACCCCTAAAAAAAAAAAAAAAAAAAAAAAACATCTATCGTTTCTTACAAGTCTTTCCGGTACATCTTACAGCGAGATGTTTCCGTCAGGGAGCAATTTTGTTTTTTCGGATCACGGCAGCTGGCAGCTGTTCTCGCGTACGTCGGGACTGACTATCATACGTCGTATGACAAAAAAAAAAAAAAGAAAAGGAAAGAGGAAAAAGGGTTCGTAACTACGGTAGTTCTGCAGAACAGCTGGTCTGGATAGCTCGCTTATTTAACGGAACGAACGCTGCGCGTTAGGGGACTTGGCCACAGAGGGTATTAATATATACCGGAGACCGCAGTGGTCTGCATAGCTCTCTTGCCTTAAATCTAATACACCTTGACGTCTGACGAGACACACAGAAAACTGGTACCTGCGCACCATGTCCTCGCAAGAATGACAGAATTCATGTTCGTTTTCGTCTGAAAAGAAAACAAAAGACACACGAACATCATAATAGCGGGAAATGAACGATTGATAACCTACGTGCCGTGTCAAAAGACGTGTCGCTAAAAATCATGCGTTTATTTCCATATTTATAGATGATTTAGTTTACGTGTTACGTAAATGTTTTAACCATTCACTATTGTGAAAAAGCGTCGTACGTATTATCAGGTAACATCGCTTTCTGCCGCCCGTATAGTGTGCTAGCTATTTACAGCGAAAGCTGTTATGAGATCACAGCAGCCGATTTTGGTCGCTTAGTTGTTCGCCGCCGCCGGTGTCCGTAACATTTATCGCGTACAGCGAGGAAAAAGATATCTAGGATCGAGTGGATCGAGTAGGAAGGAAAATAGGAGGAAAAGAACGGTGGGGAGATTAACCAGCCTATAGGCAGCCGGTTTGCTACCCTGCGCATGGGAGGAGGATGGGGGAGATGAAAGATAGAGAGCAGAGAGGGAAGAGAGTGGATCGAGTAGGTGAGCATAATGTCTTGGAGATGCGGGGCGGGTACCTCACTTCTCAGAATGGTGAGTTCTTCCACTACTTCACGAAATTCACATGGTTTCTGGTTCATGGCGAAATCCCGCAAAAAAACAGACGGAAACCCGAAGCAAGAGGGAAGCACAAACAGGCGCAGACTGTCAATTGAAACCTTATTCCCAAAAGCAAGCCAAATATAAAGCGCAAGAAAGAAAAATGATAAAAGACAGCGGCAGGTGTGAAGGAGGGAACAGCGAGGGGCACCCACACAAAGAAAAACTGATCACACATCACCATGGCGGTCTCGTGATGGGACTTAGAAGCGTGGCAGTTTGGGCTAGTTGGTATGACATGACGACAGTTATAGCTCGAGAACACAACGACGACAAAGAGACAAGAAGGACACGCAAAACGCTCGTGTCCTTTTTGTCTCTTTGTCGTCCTGTTCTCGCGCTACAACTATTCTCGTGATGGGATCTCGGTTTCATGTTGTGGGCGTGCTATGGGTGATGCATGTGTGATCTGTTTTTGTTGATCTGGCTCCTCCTCGTCATTGCCTCTCCCCCCCTCCCCATTCCTCGGTCTTACATTTGTTACCATTTTTGTGTGTGTGTGTCCTTCATAATTGGCTCGCTTTTCGGAACAAAGCTTCAGTCTATAGTCTGCACCTGTTTGTGCTTTCCTCTTATGCGTTCCTTCCCGTCCATTTCGTGAGCCATTTCATCATGAACCAGTATACCAACTGGCCCAACTTACTACTCGTCTGTGATTTATGGTGTAGCGGGTACCTTGCAAGTACAGTTGCACCAAGCGAGCTTACAACTGCTTCAAGAATGCAGGCTTCTCCAGTTTTCGCCATGACGATGCTGTGGGTTCCGCGAAGGTGTAGAATCTTTGTTGTCGTTGTTCTCATGGGTAATGCAGTCTGTTAGGCTGCCGGTATGCAGGTTTCCGACCGTCGTACCCAGCACCAACATAATGCAATGATCGATGAGTCTTAACGTCCCGAAACCACGACAGCATCATGAGAGACGCCGTGGATGGCTCCAGAAATTTCGATAATCTAGTGTTCTTTAACATGCACCAAAATCTAAGTCCATGGGCTTCCAGCATTTTCGCTTCCTTCGAGAATGCGGCCGCCGCGGCCTGGATTCCATCCGGCGTACTGCGGGAACTACAAAACGCTCACACTATGTACTATGTTGTTAAATAACATATCCAACTGAAGGAGGCGGTTTGCTCTCGAAAACATTGTCCGTGTTTTGTGTTTCTCGTGTTTGTGTATGTGTGCTTTTAACCCAATATGTAATGCATATACAGCTATATATACTCTGTCCCCTCCCCCGCAAAACGTGGATGGTTAAAAAAACGAGCCGGGCAGGCGCATTACCTTTGCTCGTAAGGACGACGGGCGTAGGCCAGGAGGTGGCACACCTGGCCCGTGTTAATGCCGCCTTGTAAATCCCGAAAGCTATAGAGGTATGCGCAATGTCACAGTTGGAATTTCGTTTTACTTCATTTTGCCCGTCGAACATACAGCGTCTCACACGTACTCGCTGCAATTACCAGCGACTTGCATGCGGCGAATGGAACAGGTGTTGGCGCCGTCGCCCGAGATCCGCAGGCATCCATGCACGTGCGCGCGCTCGGTTGAAAATCGCACAGCAGATAATGACGCGTGGCAGTTTGGGCTAGTTGGTATGACATGACGATAGTTGGAGCGCGAGAACAGAACGACGACAAAGAGACAAGCGCTCGTGTCTTTCTAGTCTCTTTGTCGTCGTTCTGTTCTCGCGCTATAACTATAGATAATGACGGCCGCATACATGACAACGTGCCTCCGGTATGACTCACCTGAGCGCGTGAAACACATTCGCGGCTGTGTGCGACTGTAACAGCTGATTCTTTCCCGTTGTCTTTGTGTCTTGCTGTATAAGACACGAGAAAGTACAATAACGTACGCTCAGTTTCGAACGTGCGCTATATGGTGTTACAAAATTAGAAATCGGAATTCCAAGGAGCAGTCGCAGCGACCTCGGAATGTGCCGTAAAAGAGCCCGCCTATTTAGTCAATCGCGTTGTGCGTTAATTGTGCGTTAACTGTTTCCTCTTTAGCGCAAAAAAAAACTTCCGAAACATGAGAGGGAAAGAATGACTCACATGAGTGTATGTCGCAGTCTTTTTCATCCCTAGCTTCGATTTTTTTTCTTTTTTAGCTAAATGAGAAATTATGGATTACCAACTAGCCCGATCATGCAGATCACCTCTTAGTACTAGCATCGTCTTACAACCAATCGACAATGGCTGGCACAAAAACGTCAATACGAGAAATCCAAGTCCACTATAGAAAACACTCCTTGGATGAGACGAAAAGAGTGCTTAAATAGCGTTGCTACGTCGGGCGCACCCGCACAACATGCTTACCGCAGACTAAACGAAGCGGTGTACACTAACCTTTACGAGGAATGGCTCAGGTGGCTCCTGGCGCCGAGCAGACCGAGTCGAGCAGGCAGGGAGGGAGGGCGGTTGCGCACGTGACCGGCGTGTCAGCTGACTTCCCCGATGCATGCGAGATCGCCCCCCGCCGATGTCGCCGCCCGGAAAGCGAGTGGCAGCTTGTGAGCGTGACGCCTCGGCTGGGGCTGCCCCTTGTTCGCTGCGCGCGCCGGGCAGTTGGGTGCAGCGCTGCGAAACTCTGATATGTTGTTGTTGTTACACAGTAGCGTATCAGTGCGCTGATACGATTGTGTTTGACGGCTTTCAGTGCTTGATTCCGTCCCGTCTCACAGCGAGTGGCAAACGAGTAAGAGTCTGTCTGTCGCGTGACTCACTTCGGCCGCGCTCACGGAACTATATTTCGTCGCGCCGGCCGTGCGTGCGATGCCGGCGGCGAAGCGCGCGCGTACGAGACGACTGCGCGGAACTCGTCCGATCCACGCTCCCAGAGGAAGATAAATATGGAAGTTTCCCACTTATGGCGCCTTATCGCTTAGACCTTATCGCGTAGCCCCCGCCGCGTCGCCGTAGAGGCCCGACAATCGCGTATATGCACGCTGCCGGGAAGCACCGCGTCGCTTCTTTAATCTCTCGCAATATTGTTCTCGGTGTAATCATAAGGTCCTCCGGCTGTTACATGTAGACGCTCCGACGATGCTGATTTATTGAGCAGTGCACGCGTTCTCGCGATACTTAAGAGACTAGCTGCAAGACACTCTCATTGCACTGTTTAATTTTACAAATGGAAAAACGTTCGAAGAAAGTCAATTCGTCAAACAGTGGTTTGCATGCAATGTTGGTTAATATGTAGATTTTTTCCCTTTGTTGCAGCTACACCTGTGTGAATTCCGTGCGAACATTATCTATACATAGCATGACATGCTTACCTTTTGTATTTATCGGTTCTTGTATATATATATCATTACACCATGCCATTAACTTTGTTTTATAAGTCGTGCTGTGTAGCCGCAACCAACTGAAAATGAAACTGTTTCTGACAGCTTTTCTGCTCCTACACCGTCTGTGACTTTACACGGTAGAAATAAAAAAAAATGAACTTGAAGAACAATGTTGACGCCACCGACCGTACACAATACACCACATATACACTTTACAGCTTACGGACACCATGTTGTACGAGCAAAGGAAGGCATAACTGTAGACAATCATGATTTTGATCGTCGGTGTGGTCATTTGTTTAGACGTGTCGGCAATTTCGCGCAAGAGCGCGCTAGCCAGTGGAATGCGGCCTTGAACTTTGCACACGCTGTTGCCTGTCTGTTTTTGACGTTATTAAGTTTGTAGACGTGGTAATATTAATTGTTGGAATTTAAGATCCCAAAACCACGATATGATTATGAGAGACATCACAGTGGAGGGTTCCGGAATTTCGACCACCTGGGGTGGGGTTCGTTAACGTGCACCTAAATCTAAGATCACGGTCCTCGAACATCTCCACCGAAATTGTGTCCACCGTCGCCGGGATTCGATCCAGCAACCTTTGGTTCAGCAGTCCAGCACCACAACCACTAGAACACCGTAGTGGGTCGTCCGTAGACATAATGTATCTTGCAGACCTTTCTATGATACAAACGTTTGTCTGTCGGAAAAATGTGTCATTAGGCTGTGCGTTTCAGAGGATGATCAGTTGTTTCGACGACACTCCGCTGAGCCTGGGTGGAGTGTCATCGGGAATAATCTAGCGATGCCCACGCAGTTCGCATTAGGTGCTTTTGTCTCGTTTTGCCTGGTACGAAGGTCTGGTTAACTTTTTCTTTTGCCAAAGATCTATTCACTATTATTGTGCTGATTGCACTATGCAGAAAATGCGTTCCACGTTTTATGTTTTCAAGATTGTAGCGACAGTTACTGGTTTCTCGATGAAGTATACCGTGTAGAGAGTATAGTCGAGCTTTCTTGAAGCTGTGGTCTTCATTCCCAACACGGTTACAAACACATATCCCACCTACCCCTCCCCCCCCCCTCCATGAAAAAAAATAAATAAATCACAGCATATCCACGGAGCCCCGCCACGGTGGTCTAGTGGCTAAGGCTAAGGTACTCAGCTGCTAACCCGCAGGCCACGGGTTCGATTCCCGGCTGCGGCGGCTGCATTTCCGATTGAGGCGGAAATGTTGTAGGACCGTGTGCTCAGATTTGGGTGCACGTTAAAGAACCCCAGGTGGGCGAAATTTCCGGAGCCCTCCACTACGGCGTCTGTCATAATCATATGATGGTTTCGGGACGTTAAACCCCACATATAAATCAATCAAGCATATACAAGGAGTGAATGATGAGTGGGGCAAAGCGCTGGAGGGTTTCATCGCTAAACCGTGAACCATCCATGAATAATATCGCCCACTACATCATCAAAGACGTAACAAACGCTACATATATTTATAGAAGAAATTTGATTATTCGTAAGTGGTAGCTATACATCGCTTCCGTTCCCCCTTCATTATAACGGCTTTATGGTGGGTGAAGTGGTGGATTGGTGATGGGGCGTATGTGCAATGTTTGCAAGGGCGAAGTAGTGGGCAGTTGGCAAAGGTGGAACTATAGGCAGTCACGTACAAACAAGGCATGGGCACAGTGGGACAATGTATGGTTCTTTAACGCACACTTGGATACAAGTACACGACTATCTTGCGTTTCATATTGGCTACTCCTCAACAGTATTTGCCTTATGATCGGTGAAGTGGTGGATCCGTGATGGGGCGTAGTGGGATGTTAGCAAGGACAAAGTAGTGGGCACTTGGAAAGTGTGAATCTATAGGTGGTTACGTACATACACGCAAGAGAAGGACAGATCAACGCCTTTAGGAGCTTCGCCCCCCAAAAATAAATGCTTCACTTTCGCTTAGTGGCACCCCTCAAGAGTTGAGGCTTAACTTTCGGAGCCCAGCTGTGTGCCAGAAAATAGCAGGGTAAGCTCGGGAGCAGCAGTTTACTTGCTGCCATTTTGATCGAAATACTGCCTCGGTGTCAAGCACCTTTCACGTAGTGTCGCGCATAGTTTGGTGTCCGGCGTGTCAACTTGTAGGGGGCGTATACAAATGAAGCTGGGGCGAATTTCAAGAGATTGATTGATTTGTGGGGTTTAACGTCCCAAAACCACCATTTGATTATGAGAGACGCCGTAGTGGAGGGCTCCGGAAATTTTGACCACCTGGGGTTCTTTAACGTGCACCCAAATCTGAGTACACGGGCCTACAACATTTCCGCCTCCATCGGAAATGCAGCCGCCGCAGCCGGGAATCGAACCCGCGACCTGCGGGTCAGCAGCCGAGTACCTTAGCCACTAGACCACCGCGGCGGGGCGAATTTCAAGAGAGCTCGCGTAAGTATAATTAAGGTCCCGGTCCCACAGAATCCCAGCCTGTCAAAATATCATTTGAATACTTTCATCACGGCGTTTCTCCTACCATCCTCGTTATGCTGGGCCGTTTTCTCACTCACTCACTAACTCACTCACCATTAAAGACGCTCTGGAGAGAGTATTTAATAACCCAACTGCAACGTAACGTAACTCGTAATTTTTTTTACGAAAAAAAGGTCACATCAGTCAGCGAACCACTATTTGTAGAACCGGCAATGTCTTCAAGACACTGTCTGTGAATGTCGTCATAAAATACGAGGAATCAACGTCCTACAGAATTACTTCCATAGCACAAACTAGTTCATATTGCATAGGATTCCATCTGACATAATGACTTGAGGCAAATAGAAGACAGAGGAAGAAATCACCCAGAGTTTTTGTTTTTTAGTTCCAACGAACTTGCATGCTTGGGGTACTTGCTTGTTGCCTTTTCTTTTCATTTCTTTTCAAGATGGGGGCGTTTCTGTCCCCTCTGTTGGGGCGTCAAGTCGAGGCTCTTAGAGAGTTGTCCCCCGGCACCGGCGAGCGGCCTTGGCGGCATCCGGAGAACGAAGGCACCACCACCGCGTTGGCCGAAACAGACGCCCCTTAGAAACCTAGAAACCACACGCGTGAATGTGAAGAGTCGCTCTTCACATTCACGCGTGTGGCTGCCGGCCATTGTTCCAGAGTACAATCATTGTTGGTCGGCATAAGGACGAGATGACTCGGTTGATCATAGAAGCCGAACTTATTGATACTCTTGGAGATGTATGCATTAGCAAGCCTTCAATTGCCTTGTCACCCAAGGAACTGGCGTTCCTGCGTACGCAGTGATACGTGATTTTATCTGTGAGGTTTTGTTGTCCTATTTATCGTTTTTTCTTGTAGGTAGATGGCATTGTCGTGAATGTATCTGAATTACACGTGCTTATCTGCTTAGTCGCCTGACGATTATGGCGTAAAAGCAGCTTGGAGGTTGAAAATAAACATGTTGATAGTAGCGCTCTGTCTTCTCAGTCTATTCTTCCCTGTGTTCGTTTTTTCGCCTCGCGCTACACAAATTGCTTTCAAATGTGCCCTGTAGCGGCGAGAGAAGAGACGTGAGACGGCGTCGAAGGCGGCCGTTGGGGCCGTGTCGATCTCGCCACTTTATTCCAGGCCTGGAGCGGAGCCACGTCGGCTACCAGCGTCCGCCACGCCAGGCATGTCAGCTCGTTCTCTTCCTCGCGCAGCTCGAGCTAGCGTCAGCTGCGCGAGAGGCGCGGCGCGGTGATCAAGAAATGATGATGGTGATGATGCACTACAGGACTACCCCCCTTGCACTTTGCGCGATTTGAAGTGTATATAACAAAGAAAGAGAAAGAGACTATATACATGAACGACAATCCGCAAGGTGTCCGTTTAGGAAGTCCAGTTTGTCAACGTGTAGTGACCGTCGGGAACCGGTGGGTCTCTGGTGGGCGACACTGGGAGTTGCGCAGAGGACGCAGGAGTAAGTGCCGGGTCGCTGTGGTAGCCGACAAGCGGGTCTCACGGTGACCTGGTCGGACAGACCGAGAGTGGACCGTGTGTCGCGAGGTCATGACAGGATGGTGGGTGACAATGTTGGCGCTGGGTGCAGAGGACACTATACTGCCGCCTGTCGAGATTAGAGGCCCCGACAGGGCCCTATGATGGTGGTGGTGGTGGTGGTGGTGATGGTGGGCATGCGCCAGTATCTGCGGCTGGGTGAACGTCGGTACTGCACCAGGGATTGGTGCTGGTCTGTCTGGAACGCACCCAGTGTGGGCTGGGCCAGCGTGGTCTGCGTGAGCAGCATGGCCTGCAGCTGTTGGAGCGTCAGTGGCTGTCCCGGGACTATGGCAAACGAGGGGGGCGACATCATGCGTGGCGGTGCCAGAAAGATGTTGGGCCTTGGCCCCAGGTTCTGTGGAATGACGAGCGTCGGGGTGCCAGGCGGTCCTGGA